CAATTCAGGATAAGCACTGGACTTCTAACTGCAAGGTTGGTGGTTCAAACCCACATGTTTTTTCTCAGCTATCTTATACAGAGTTGTTGTTAAGTGCCATTGAGTTGATTCTGACTCACAGTGACCTGTATAGGGTTTCCAAGACTTTAAATCTTCGAGAGAGAAGAAAGCCTCATCTAGTGGGCTTGTACCTTGTGCCTCACAGTCTAGTGTTTATCATATGGAGCCACCTTGATCTTTCATATACATAAAACAAAAATTTGCTATTTAAAAAATATGTACAGTTCAGTGACATCAATCACTTTTATCATGTTGTTACTTGCTTTTTGACAGGTCTGGCTGTGTTGCTTCAGCTGCAGCTTGGTAAGTATTTTGAGGATTTCTTTTTGATAAGGGAATTTCCACCATCAGCTGGCTTAGATATTCAAGAACCTGAGAGAACAGCTTCTATATTCAAAGTTGTCATTCTACCCACCCCACACCCTTCTCCCCAAAAGAGAGAGACCTCTCTCCTTCCCTCTCTCCTTCCACCCACTCCTTAATGTTTATGTTCTTCAAACCCACCAGCTGCTTTTCGAAAACCCTATGCAGGGTCACTGTGAGTTGGAACCTACTTGATCCCACTTAACAGCAAAAAATAAGGGATAGAGATGAGGACTGCTTAGGGCCAGAACGACACTTTTCAGATTATGTGATTAAGATAGCATTCACACACTGCCAATGAGTGCAAATGGTTAAGTGCTTGGCTACAAGTCAAAAGGTTGGTGGTTTGTACTCATCCAGTGGTATCTTGGAGGTTGTTGTTGTTGTTATGTGCTGTGGAGTCGGTTCCTACTCATAGTGACCCTGTACAGGGTTTCCGAGGCTGTAAATCTTTATTAGAGCAGAAAGCCTCATCTTTCTCCCATGGAACCGCTGGCAGTTTCAAACTGCTGACCATAAGATTAGCAGGCTGATTCGTAACCGCTACGCTACCAAGCCTGGTGATTTGTTTCTGAAAGACCGCAGCCTTGAAAAGCCCATGGAGCAGTTCTAGTTTGCACACATGGAGTTGCCGTGAGTTAGGATTAACTTGATGACAACTAACAACAAGAACAACAATGTGTTAGTGGTGGGGGCAGGGAAACTGGGGAGTCATTCATTAACTCCACAGAAATTTTCTATCTTCAGGGAAAATGGTTTCAGTTTGATCGCATGTTTGCTCCTACACTATCATTAGGTCATTGAGAAGCATAAAACACTTTTAGTTTGAAGTCTTACCTAACTAGTCTAAGCCTTTCTGGGCCCTCCTCACAGCCCCCATCCCAAGTTCACAGAAAGAACTTGAGAGTCCTAAAGTGGTCTCCTGTTCCTCCCTCCCCAGTGAGCCCATGGAAGGTCTCCCAGGAGTTTTGAGACACCAAATCTCAATATTTCCTGTTCTTCTCAACTAGGTACAGCCACGAAGCTTGTGTGTTACTTTACCAACTGGTCTCAGTATCGTCCAGACCCTGCCAAATACATGCCAGAGAATGTGGACCCCTGCCTGTGTACCCACCTCATCTATGCCTTTGCCACTATGGTCAATAATAAGATCGCACCCTATGAATGGAATGATGATGTCCTCTACCCCCGGTTCCAGGCCCTCAAGCAGCAGTCAGTACCTTATTCTGGGATATACGGAGAGGTGACAGGATAGAAGCTACTCATAGGGGCCTTCTCCCTGCTCATGGCTAAAGCACATGATATGGAAAGGGTGATTCTGGGGAAGAGAGAAGTGGAAATGCCATGCTACCTTGATAAAAATCTAAATGATTTCCCTTTTCCTCAACTGTGATTTTTATCTGCTAGAATTGTTGGCTTCATTGCTTTAATCCCCTATTTCTCTTTATCTACCAGTTTCATCTAAACTGGACTCATCCTATAGAGCTCTGGCCTGTGTCTCTCTGAGACTATGCAAACAAGGGTAGTGAGCAAGGGAAAGTCCAGAGTGGAAGAGAGACTTAAAAGGAAAATAGCTTCAATGGCGAACTCTATTTATTAACCTCTGTTAATGAACTTTCTAGTAGAATTACCTTCCTACTGAGATCAAGACGAATTACCTTCCTACTGAGATCAACTCTATATGGAAGATTCCCAAATTATGCATTTAACAATTTTGAGTGGGGATAATAGGGAGGGGGGTATTTTTATAGTCTCATGACTGTCTTTGATTAAATGTTCACCTTTCTCTCTATGAAGAGTGTCTCCAGTCAGAGAGAAAAGTTGCCTAAGAGATTCAATACACATCTGTGTTCATAGAGTAAGATGAATGTTTCCTTCCACATAGCTTGACCTTTTGCCTTGTATTCCAGGAAGGGCTAGGGTGCTCAGAACTCAAGCATTGGTGCTCCTATCTGAATAATCAGCATAAAGTTGATCCTTGGAGGAATAGTAGAGGGAACCCAAGAGGAGAGTTCTTGGAGACATCGTTCTGTTTTTTTGGTGCCAAAACTCTGAGTCTGAGGGAAGGCCACTTTGGCTCCATTAAGTAGTTTCCCTAAGTTTGACTAAAATGGACTTCTGTGCTTCCTCATCAGTAATGAAAACCTGATTACGCTCCTGGCGATTGGCGGATGGAACTTCGGTACACAGAAGTAAGAACCTCTACTTTTTATGGGAAGTTGGGATAGAGGCTGATCTCAGAAGGGGGCTAAAGCTAGTTTGAAGGTGAAGAGAAGATGATTGAAAGTGAGATGAAAGATCCCCAAAGTGTGTCAGCAGGAGTTATTTCAGAACAGGAAATGAGTGAACAGAAGCCAATGTTTGGCTGATTGCATATTTACTTATTCTATAAAAGAGGGTGGTTGCAGTCCAGAATTTTTGATTCTGGGGTCATAGGGTAAGGGAAGGGAAAGAGGCCTAGAAGAGAAATAGTGTGAAGGAGTAATCTATGAAAATAATCTATCACATGGCCTACACATAACATCTGTTTATTTAGAGTGCTCAATTTATTTTTAAGAAATATTTACTGAGCATGTATTATGTGCTGAGTATTATTGTAGGTACTTGGTATATACATCAGAGGTATACAAGAATGAAAGAATTGTAGAAGAGGATTCAACATCTTCCAGTGTTCCAATTGGAGAAATGAAGATAAACAAGAATTTATTGTAGCCTGAGGAACCACAAGTTCAGTGGTTCAAACCCACCAACTGCTGCTCAGAAACCCTATGCAGGGTTTCTTTGAGTCAGAACTGACTTGACACACTTAACAGCAACCACATAGACCCAGAAACCTCACTAGACACTGTAGGAGAACTGCATATAAGAGTTCCAGGAAGCTTTCTAGGAACCCTGGTGGCACAGTGAGTTAAATGTTGGACTGCTAATTGAAAGATCAGCGGTTCAAATCTACCAACCACTCTTCAGGAGAAAGATGAGGGTGTCTGCTTCCATAACTATATAGCCTCACAAACCCTTCATGAGCGGTTCTACTCTGTCCTATAGGTGACTCTATCAGTTGAAACTGATTTGATGGCATTAGGTTTGGTTTGGTTTTAGGCAGCTCTCTGTCTAGTTAGGAAGACAAACTGCAAATCTTTATAGAACAAATGGTGGGTTCGAATAACTGACCTTTCAGTTAGCAGCTCAATGCTTAGCCCATGGATCCACCAGGACTCAGTGCATATACACACACCTAACTGAACACTGTAATGAGTAAGTGCCATAGTGGCATATATACAATGTAATAAGAACAGTATGAGAATGCAATGCTACATTTTTGGAAGTTAAAGAGTTTAAAAGAATAAGTAACGTTTCAAAAGGGCAGCAAATAGTTAAGTAGAAGTGTGTCAGAGAGAACGTGAAGGACATTCTAGGAGAAGGAAACCACATGAACAAAGGCATAGACATATGAGAACATAAAGGAATGTTTAAGGGAACTCTGAAAAATCAATAACTGAAATGATCTCAAAGACAGGAAAAGAAAGAGGGAGGGAAGAGTTCTAAAGAAGCATGTTTTGTAAGTAAGATGTAGTTTGCCTTGCCCCATCGTTGTATTGTCCTGGTGTGGCACTGTAGGACAACCCTGAGACCATAAGATCTGTTTGAACCACAGAGCCATTGGTTTAAACTCACCAGCCACTCCTCGGAAACCATACACAGGGTCACTATGTGTTGGAACCGACTCAACAGTACTTAACAACAGCAACAAGAACATCATTGTATTATGATGCTCTTCCTGAAGGGATTTGGGAATTTGTAGGAAGACATGGAATGTAACTTGTAGCTTGGTGAACGAAGTCCCTAAAATAATAGAGGAATGCTTTGTCTGCTATCACCAAGAGGCCTCTTTTATAGATAGCTTTATAGAGTGCTTTATAGGTTGGAAGAATTTTTATGACATCAGATTACTGGGGTGTCTGTTGGAGATGAAAATGACTTTGGATAGAAGCTAGTGGTGGTTCCTCTCAATTCTACACACAATCCGCATGACAGAAAGAATGAAGGGGACAAAGGTGATGGCACTTGAATGTACTCAGGACCACGCTCTCTCCAGGTTCACCACCATGGTTGCCACAGCTGGCAACCGTAAGATTTTCATTGACTCCGTGATTGAGTATCTCCGGCTGCATGGGTTTGATGGCATCGACCTCGACTTTGAGTACCCAGGGTCCCGGGGCAGCCCTCCTGAGGACAAGCAACGTTTTACCATTCTGATCGAGGTAAGGACTGACCGATACAGTCATATAACTCAGGAGTTCAAGGACCCCCTACTCTTGACTGACTTGAATTTCCAAAGAAAATGGGAAAAGAAGGGAAGGAAACCAATGGACAATATACCAGATGCTATGCTGGGCAGTATGCATCTGTGACTTCATTCAGACTTCATTGAAGTATGTGCTGTATTTCTGTTTATTTAGAAATAAGCTATCAAAGTATAAAGAACTCACATGTCCCAAATGTTCCTGGGACAGACAGTTCAGTGTTTGAATACTAGCTGAAATGTTGGTGGTTCGAATCCACCCAGAAGCACCTCAGAAGAAAGGCCTAATGATCTCCTTCTGAAAGGTCACAGCCCTGAAAACGCTATTGTGCAGTTTTGCCCTGCACATAACGTGTCGTACCAAGTCAGAACTGACTGGATAGCAACAATAAAAGTTGCCCCAAATCACAATTATGAAGTGGCAGGGAAAACGAGTCTTGACAATTTATATTCCAAGCCTTACCACATTCATATATACACCTAATACATGGATATAAGCAAGGAAACGTTCCTCACCAAATGTTACTCTATATGTAAATTAAAATTGGGTCATTTATGAGTACTGTATAGTTTCTATGACATCACTAACCATAATCATCAATACTATTCTATTTTCAATGGGAGCAGTGATGATTCAGTGTTAGAATTCGGGTGCGGCCTTTACCTATCTGGTGCTATGATGTGGAACAAGCTTTAGCAGGGCTTTCAGACTAAGACGGTCTAAAAAGGAAAGTCTGACTATCTACTTGGGGAACTAAACCAATGAACCCCCTCTGAATCACAATAGTGTGATCTGCAGCCAATCATGGGGTTGGCATACAACTGGGCAGCATTTTGTTCCTTTGTACATGGGCCATCATGAATTGGGAGCTGACTTGATGACATCTCCAAACAACAACAACCCCTATCTCTTGCTACAGGAAATGTTAGCAGCTTTTGAAGCTGAAGCCCAAGCCACAGGACACCCCCGTCTGCTGATCTCTGCAGCTGTATCGGCAGGCAAAGGAACCATTGATGCTGGTTATGAAATTGCCAAGATCGGCAAGTGAGTAAGGCAGCACTACCCAAAGACCTAAATAGCATGTTTGATTCCAGGGCAAGATTTAGACCCATGGGACTCTTGAGGTCTCAGACTACATTTACGTAGTCTGTACATCTTTGCCTATGGTTTGTGGCATTTTCTACTCCTTCTCCTTGGTGCTTTTGATTGGCATCCCATCTGTCTCCTGCTAAGGATCAAGAAGGTGATGTGTTGTATGTGGCATAAAGCTCTGCAGTGGACTTGCATGAGAGCATGTGGCTGCAGTCACTGGACTGACCCATTAGGGAAAGGAAGGACTGGCACCCCCACTGAAGGCACAGCCACTGCAAAAAAGTGGACCAACTCCTCCCATAGTACTCTTTATTTATCAACTGGGTTTGGAAACTCATTGCAATGGCCATATAGGACTCAGGTACTATCCTCAAAGTTATGGGGTTTATTAGGGAGGTTAACAGGATACAATTGAGGGTCAGAAATGACCAGGGCACAGTTGTTTTAGTCAAGACAGCCTCTCTTCAGCCGTGCTCATGGGCAGCCCTCTCTCTGCCCAGGCAATGTTACAAAGCTCTTTTAGGGCTGCTGATAAATGCTCATTTGACACATCATTCTACTATAAGCCTCAGCCCAAACATACTCAGCTCTAGCTCCTTGGGTCAGAAAACTTAGCCCCTTTCCTCAATTAAGTGTCTGGAGGCATCCCTCTGTAAGTAAGCCTGCTGCCCAAAGTCACTCAGCTTTACTTGCTATGTGTAATAGGAAGCCCACTGCTCTGTCTTGGTTCTGCTGCTGCTTCTTTGTTCCTCTTCTGGTGTCACAGCTTTTTGTCTCCGGGTGGAAGAGTTTCAATGCACAGAGATCACAGGTTCCAAAGGATGTGCTTCCCTATTGGCTTTTCTTCTTTGATGGCAGTGAGATTCCCCCATTTTTGTTTTTGAGGTGGCTTATTTTATATATTAGAGTTCCAGGTGTTTGCAATCACAGTAAAAACTGCTGAATCGCATAAGCCTGCCAGCATCTCCTTCCACCTTCTCTCACCCAGATCCATCAGGACAAAAATGCTCAGCGGGAGTTTGCAATGACTATGACTAGAAGAGACATGAAATGATTCGCTGCACTACAACCACATGTGGGAGTAGAAGAGAAAGAGAGTTAGAGAGAGTTCTTTACTTTGTATGCAACTAAACGTTTTGCAAGTTCCTGCCTAAACATTTATGGGAAAAGTTAGGTTTGTTGATGTTACCCCAGTCTTTGCTTTCTCAGCATTGTTCTCCTGGTGGATTTCTTAGGCTGTGGTCTCTCATTAATACATGGGAGGGTAAAAAAGAATTAAGGGTATTCTCCAAAGGATCAGCAATAACTTGTACATCAACCTCATCACCCAGATCTCAAGAAGATCTCTTTGGAATGGTCTAGAGTATCATAACTGGCAGGGGTGAGTACAGTGGCTCATTGGAGATTTGGGGGAATAGTGAAGTTACTTTTCTTAGAAGATCTAGTTGTGTGAAAGCTGGTTCAGCTGAGAGTGAAACTACTTTACAAAACCACCTCTAAAACAGAGTAATGTGGGGAGCCTTTAGAAATACATATGAGAGCACAGAGTTGGGATTTTTTTGTTTTGGTTCTGAATAAAAAAACTAGTGCCAACAGGGGAAATGAGAGTGAATCACTTTTGCAGAACAAGAAAACAAATATCTTTCTCAGACCTGTTGTTAGACTAAGAGCGCCATCACAATGGCATCAAATGCCTGCAGGTGGTTAGTTAAAAAATATTTTGGCAAAGACTACATGGAAGTCTTTAATGCACTTGTGGGAACTTGTCTAACACCAGTGGTTTATAGGCTTTTTTTTTTTTTTTTTTTTAAGCTATTATAACCCCCTTATTCAAAGTATTTGATAAATCTCCAACACAGAAAGAAAAAGTGAAGGTGTTCTGGTTGAAGTGAGAATGGAAATGAATGGAGAAATAGTCTTCCATACACATTCATGCATCTCTTCCAGGTTTTTTTGTTTTTTTTTTTAAGGTTTTTATTGTGGATTGAGTGGAAGTTTACATGGCACATCATCAGTTTCACATTCAACAATTCATATAACTTATTTCATTACATTGAGTATAATCCCCTCCAAATACCATCAGTTAAAAGTATTTCTCTCTATCCACTTTAGCTTTTTAAAAAACACACAAACAAAAAACCCACACAGGCATATATAATAATTTACATCTCCAAAGGGCACATTCTGCAAGTCTGCTCCTGGCCAACAGTTCTTAGTCCTTCTCTTCTTAGTCCATGAATCTAGAGTCCTCAACTGCTCCCCCTCTCCATGCCCCCATCTCTGCCTCTATCTCTGGTGCTGCTGCTTCTCTGGATAAGGTCCCATATTCTGCTTGTGCGTTCCTCTCTTGATGGTCCTAGAGTCCTCTGTTTCTGGACTGCAAGATTAACCACTCCCCTTTTTAGTTACAAAACTTCTACCTTTAAAAGTGTGACAGTAGCAATTAGTCATGATAACAGTTATTCACTATTGAATCTTATGAATCTTATCCCCATCTCCTTTCACCAGACCCATCTAGACAAGATGATAGCTATTCAGTGGGGACTGTCTTTTCCCCCACACTCTTAAACAAAGCTCCCTCTTGAAACCTTTTAAGCCAGTCACTTCATGCCTTTATTGCACACTCATTTTAGATAGCCAATGTCTAAGTTGCCCGTCCCTATCTACCCTGTGCGCAGAGCTAATAGCATTGATACTTGATTTGAAGACTCTTTCCCTCTCTATTGGTATTTAGAGCAACTACCGCTCTGAGTATAGGTCAGGTTCATCATGAAGATGTATCTTCTGTCACTGTAGCTGTTCCAGTCTGCTTGTCCTTCCTAGTGTGAATGTCTCACCTCACAAGGTTGTGGATGGGACTCAGGATTCCACCTAAGGCCCTATACTCTATAAAGGCTTTGCATGAGGCCTATTTCACTGGGCAAGTTGTAGAACCCCTTTTAGGTATTCCAATCAGTTATAGGCTGAAGGCAGGCTTACAAGTTTTCTCTAATCATGTTTCCCAACATTCCTTTCTATCCCACTCAAGTGTCT